TATAATCTATAAGTTATCTATTGTACATGAAATTAGGTTCAACGTTTCTCAAACAAATTAACAGAAAACAAATATAGTTTGACTGATTTGACAGAATCATGATCAAACACAGCCATAAAAATATGCAGTAATTTGGTTTTGAAAACAATATTTTTTTGATTCTGCACACCTTTGCTGTCCTTTCTCTGTGTAAAATGGCCTGTGCAGTTACCTGATTACACTTCTATAGGGTGATCCGTATTTTCAGAGTTTTGGCTGCCACTTTGATCTGCAGTGGCTCCATCTCCCCCTACAGGAGGCGGCTTTGAAGCACCTGTCTATCCGCGGATTCACATCGCTTATTAAATGAGACATGGATGTCAGAGGCTCACATCTCTGCCTCTTATCACCCATCACCCATTATACCTGACTGTGGCACTTCTAAACCTCTCTCTGCTCCGTCGGCAGGATCAGCTGCACTGGAACTTACATGAAAGGCATGATGTAGGATCATGGAACACAGACACACAGAGCCTTCAGCATGAGCTTTAACACAAAGTCAATTTGAAAAATTCCTAATCCCAACTAATAAGTGAAGTCGATGTCTCATGTGTTCTGCACCGAGAGGCAGACGGAAAATCATCTGTTTTTGTTGAAGGATTTTCAACAAAACACAATTTTAACTGATCGATTTATTCATCTGCAATAAACCCCAAATTGGTACCATCTTTAAATATGAAAAGATTGTTCCTATTGTGAGAATTCAAACGTAGTTGCCGTAATAATGTGGATTATTTGAACTACACAGCTAGAAGTGATGAATAACTAGTCAAAAATTGCTCAACTTTGGCAAAATCTATCTAAGTGTTAGTGTATTTTGTGCTAGTGCTTAAAAGTAGAATGAATTTACCCTAAATTCACATCTATAAAAGTCTAAATGACCCTGGGCCGGTCAAGTAATGGAAAACCATCCAAATTCAGCTCTAAATGAAATTACTTTGGGTATTTTTTGATTATTGTGGCCAATTACTCTCTATACGGTTTCAAAGTGCTGTACATTGTTACTGTCCAAGGAAACAACAGCAGTGAAATTGTAATCAAAGCTTTTTCTAATCGAATGATTTAGTCCTTGTGCTATTGATCAGTCTGGACTCTCATGGAGCCGAGAGTCACCGCTGAGCTGCGTACATATAGGAGACGTTAATGGCTCTAAAGCTCTAAAGCTGTAAAGCAGGGGTGGGCAATTATTTTCTCTGTGGAGCCACATTGGGGCCACATCGGAATATCGGTATATTGAAGAGGGCCGGTTACAAACCTTCACTGGATACCGTCATTTAACCCTTTAATATTCTGTCCTTGAAGAAAGCAATGTCAATGTTCCTCTTTTGATTTTCTAAGGTGTAGGAGCACTAATAAAACCATTTTTATCCCTTAGTTTCTTTAATTACAGGCCTGTACCAAGTGGTAGAGATACAGTTTGATGAAAAACGTGCCTAAAACCAAGTGATAGAGATTCCCCAATGAGGTAGATTTCAGCCCCACGCTCCGAGCAAATATATGTAGTAGATATTTGCCCAGGTCTGCTCAAAAGCCTACGAGCCCACATTTATGATGCAAACACTGGGAATATTCGACCTGATGTGTGTCTTTCCTGTGGGAGAGTCCAGCTCCTGCCTCTGAAGCCCCTTTCATTTTCCCGGTCACGTCCGTCGGGCGCTGACCGCCGCAGGTCAGAGGTTCTCTGGATACTGACCAGAGCACTCACTTTGATCTACCACAGGCTCCACCGCCACCTACAGATCAGACCCTCACACACTCCCCGTCCCCTTCAGCCAGAAACAGGGCCAAATAATACGCTACGTGAAGGTGTGTGCGTGTTGTGTTGCTTTTTTTATAGGTTTGTGTTACTCCTAGATTGAGAGAGATCCTTTATTGGTCCCACAGCGGGGAAATGTCAGTGTTGCATCAGCAGTTACAGAACAGTATGAGGAGCACACAGCTCAAGATAAATGAACAATAACTCTACACTAAAATAAAATAAAATCTCTTGTTTTAGCATAATAAAGAAGCAAGTATAACATCTCGAACTTTAGCATAATAAAATTGCTAGCTTTAGCTGTGGAAGACGAAAAAGAGGCCAGAGAGAGAGAGACCGACCAGAGAGATCCCAGAGATAGAGAGACCAGAGAGTGACCAGAGAGAGTGACCAGAGAGAGAGACCAGAGAGTGACCAGAGAAAGACCAGAAAGAGAGACCAGAGAGAGACCAGAGAGTGACCAGAGAGTGACCAGAGAGAGACCAGAGACACCAGAGAGACCAGAGAGACCAGAGAGAGACCAGAGAGACCAGAGAGAGACCAGAGAGTGACCAGAGAGAGACCAGAGAGACCAAAGAGAGACCAGAGAGAGACCAGAGAGACCAGAGGGAGACCAGAGGGAGACCAGAGGGAGACCAGAGAGAGACCAGAGAGAGACCAGAGAGAGACCAGAGAGAGACCAGAGAGAGACCAGAGAGAGACCAGAGAGAGACCAGAGAGAGACCAGAGAGAGACCAGAGAGAGACCAGAGAGAGACCAGAGAGAGACCAGAGAGAGACCAGAGAGAGACCAGAGAGAGACCAGAGAGACCAGAGAGACCAGAGAGAGACCAGAGAGAGACCAGAGAGAGACCAGAGAGAGACCAGAGAGAGACCAGAGAGAGACCAGAGAGAGACCAGAGAGAGACCAGAGAGAGACAGAGAGAGACCAGAGAGAGACCAGAGAGAGACCAGAGAGACCAGAGAGACCAGAGAGACCAGAGAGACCAGAGAGACCAGAGAGACCAGAGAGAGACCAGAGAGAGACCAGAGAGAGACCAGAGAGTGACCAGAGAGAGATCAGAGAGACCAGAGAGAGACAGAGAGAGACCAGAGGGAGACCAGAGAGTAACCAGAGAGAGACCAGAGAGAGACCAGAGAGAGACCAGAGAGAGACCAGAGAGACCAGAGAGACAGAGAGACCAGAGAGAGACCAGAGAGAGACAGAGAGAGACCAGAGAGAGACCAGAGAGACCAGAGAGACCAGAGAGACCAGAGAGACCAGAGAGAGACCAGAGAGAGACCAGAGAGAGACCAGAGAGTGACCAGAGAGAGATCAGAGAGACCAGAGAGAGACAGAGAGAGCCCAGAGGGAGACCAGAGGGAGACCAGAGAGAGACCAGAGAGAGACCAGAGAGACCAGAGAGACCAGAGAGAGACCAGAGAGACCAGAGAGAGACCAGAGAGAGACCAGAGGGAGACCAGAGAGAGACCAGAGAGAGACCAGAGAGAGACCAGAGAGAGACCAGAGAGAGACCAGAGAGTGACCAGAGAGTGACCAGAGAGTGACCAGAGAGAGACCAGAGAGAGACCAGAGAGAGAGATCAGAGAGACCAGAGAGTGGCCAAAAAGATCCCAGAGATAGAAAAACCAGAGAGAGACCAGAGAGAGTAATAAGGAAGCAAGTCTAAAATCTCAAACTTTAGCATAATAAAGAAAATAAAATCTCCAAATTTGGCAACGTAAAGAAGCAATAAATAAGTCTAAAATCTCTAACTTTGCATTATTCCGTCTTCTTACAAACACGGATTGTTTTAGATTTGGAGTCGTTCTATAGAATCTACATCTGTTATGGTTCGGCTGCTACTATTTCCATTTCCACACACGACTTTAACAGCAGTGTATGAACATAGTTGTGTGTGTTATTTTTTTGCCTGTGTGTCGCTCTGAGTACGTGTGCACTCGCTGTCATCTGGTTGCTATTTGAAGGTAGAATTACAGCTAATGACATCTTAGAGCAGAACCGTACAGTAGCCCTTCATGCAACCATTCATCTCTGCCTCTTCATCCTCTTCCTCATCCTCGCAAACTGCCAACTCTTTAGACGCCGCAGATTTTGACTCAAACATTCACTTTATTTTAATTTGGGATCACACTAATCCCCGAGGTGTTTTGAGACCATGTAGTTGTGTGTGTGTGTGTTGTGCGTCTGTCACTGAAACGCAGGCGACTTTTGTGTGTGTCTTTTTACAGCGTGCTTCTTATGTTCTCCCACTGCATCTATACAAGATCATATAACTGCTAAAATAACATGACAATTACCTTTATCTAAAGTCAGAGGAAAACTTTTGTGGCTTGTGTGCACCGTGGTGATTAGTGCAGAGGACTACAGCGTTCTCTCTCCGGTCTCTCTCTGGTCTCTGGTCTCTCTCTGGTCTCTGGTCTCTCTCTGGTACCTCTCTCTGGTCTATCTATCTCTGGGATCTTTCTGGTCACTCTCTGATCTATCTCGGGTCTCTCTCCGGGTCTCTCTCTGGTCTCTCTCTGGTCACTCTCTCTAGTCTCTCTATCACAGCTTTTGACAGCAACTAACAGGTTTCATATCTCTGCTCTCTCTCTCTCTCTCTCTCTCTCTCTCTATCTCTGGTCTCTCTCTGGTCTCTCTCTCTGGTCTCTCTCTCTGGTCTCTCTTTGGTCTCTCTCTCTCTCTGGTCTCTCTGGTCACTCTCTGGTCTTTGGTCTCTCTCTGGTCTCTCTCTCTGGTCTCTCTTTGGTCTATCTCTCTCTCTGGTCTATTTCTGCTCTCTCTCTGGTCTTTCTCTGGTCTCTCTCTCTCTGGTCTCTCTCTGGTCAATCTCTCTGGCCTCTTATTCGTCTTCCTCAGTCTTGCTTGTTACAGTGTATGCACGGCTTTGGACTGCAGCAGCGCAGGTCTGATATCTCTGGTCTCTCTCTGGTCTCTCTTCGGTCTCTCTTTGGTCTCTCTCTCTCTCTGGTCTCTCTGGTCACTCTCTGGTTTCTGGTCTCTCTCTGGTCTCTCTCTCTGGTCTATCTCACTTCAACAGTTGTGAGTTTAGGGGGTTGGAAAACTAAATAAAGTGAGGCTTTTCACAGTTTACACAAACGGTAACAGACTCTTCTTCTCTTTAAAAACATTTCTAAGTTAATGCTAGAATTTCTTGAGTTTGTCTTGATCCTAATTGTTCATTTCTTATTTGTCTCCAAAGGTCTTTCCACCTCTTCCCAGTGAAGCTGAAATCTCAAACACAAAAAAGCTTTTCCGGCGTAAAAGGAATGACCGACGGTACGTAATTCACACACACATACACACACGTGCACATACATACTCACACACATGCACACTTGCACATACATATAAATTACACACACACACACACACATACACACATATTCATACTCACACATGCGCACACATAGATAGACACATACACACACATACTTAAATACTTAGACACGTACACACAAACAATTCATAGACTTGTACACACACACACACACACACACACTAACACACAAGTTCACTAAGTCAGTGGGTAAGGAAATGTCCTGAAGTCGGGTCTTCACACCAAACACACAACAAAAACAAAACTATCATTTCCTAAATGGGGCGTGGATACTAACGACTCAACCTTTGAGCTTTCCTGGTCACTAATTGCATCTGCAGAAACTTTCTGGTTTGTCTCTGAAACCTTTAACACTCATTTTTGTGCCTACACGTCTTTTTTCTCAAACAAAAATGCATCTGAGCCACGTCGTCGAACTTTGTTGAATCCAGAAGAAGGGAAAAACTAGCGGTGTCTCATTTTCTCGCTCTCTGGCCTGATGTCATTGGAAAACTGTTCTTCAGTTGCTATGAGACCGGGAAAAAAGGAAAATATTTGGGCTGTATTTGCGGTTTTTAAAAGAGGAAATTTGGCTCGGTCCAAATGGGCAAGAACACTTTCAACCGTGTTTTCAAGTGGAGGATAATTGATTTGGGGCCAGAGCTTTTGTACGAGGATGTAGCTGAGGGGAAAGAGAATTTAAAGCATTCATAAAAACACATGCATTTCCTACTGTTTAATAGAAAACACAACAGGAGCAATAACACTTTAAGTTTAGGTTTTACACAAATTATATCTTTCTCTTATGTGACATCTCCGAAAACTGACTGGCTGAATGGTTTGCCCCCTCGCTTCTCGGCAAGAAGGTTCTGGGTTCGATTCCACCTCCAGACAGGGAATTACTGAGTGGCGTTTGCATGTTTTTCCCCATGTCGCCGCAAATTTCCTCTGTGTGCTCCGGTTTTTTCCTACCACTAAGAACATGTACAGTAACTCCCCTCTCTCTAGGCCCAGAACTCCCCTGAAAAAAGAGGTTCTGAAATCTCAGTGGATCTTTGCCGGTTTAATGATGGTCAATGAACAAACCCTAACCTCTTCTCTGACGTTTGTCTAAAATGGGCCTTTTCCCTCCATGGTTTTTTCTTTTACCCTTGTCCAATTGTCCCGTCACAGTGATTAATAAAACCCTACATTATTTTTCTTCAAGCTGAATTTTGAGGATTTCCTTTCTGCTACCCTTGGGTCAGTAGCAAGCGGTCGCATTAAAGCTGCACTAACTGACTTTGTGATTTCGAAGCAGCGGTTTCAAAAGTAAGCGCTGGCCTCGCTCTTTTTCCTCCCCTCCCCGCACCCATGAAGCTATCGCCCCCCACTACCCCACAGCCACTGTTGTTTACGGAGCTAGCGTCTCACAATATGGATCGCACATTTGAACGTGGATGGTGTGACCATAGAATTATAGAACCGGGAAGCGCGGAGGATGAGACTTTCTTTTGAATGGCTGTTTCGCTGAGTAAGCAGTAACGAAGACACAGGAAGTTTCAGGTTAGCCTCCGCCGCTTGTTTACCTCAGCTGTCTGTGCTATCGAGAGACCTGTAGATTTCTCAAGAAAGTGGGGGCCAGTGGTCCGCTGTGATTGGTCACAATCTGGACCCGAAACAAATTCTCTTCCTTGTTGCACAAAATCTCGATCTAAAATATAATGACATGCCAGCACAAATCTGCACTACGTATTCTTTAAAAGATCGTATATCCCGCTGCACTGCATGGATATGGATTGAATTTTCCTAATAAATACAAAAATAAAGTGAGGTAATGCAGCTTTGACATTTTCTGTGCAGGAGGAGGAAGTATGCTTCTGTGTCAGAGGGTAAAACAATATTAACTTTTACTAATAACCCCGAATCTCCATCTCTTTGATTCACAAATGTTTGCTTTTGTCGACCCAAATTTTATCCTTCTTTGTTTTCAAGCCTCTGGAATTCAATTGTTCAAACTCCTAATTTAGCCACAAAACACTGGAAATTATTATAAATATGACGTCTTCTGTTTAAGGAGAAATACTGAAAACATGCACCCTCTAAAATTTCTGATAGATTTTTTTTTTTCTTCAGTTTTGTTCAGTTCTCTAGTTGGGGCACACTTCAAGATTGTTTGTAGAATGGGTCATGAACTTACTACTAAAAAAAACAGTGCAAAATCCCCCCCCCCCCCCAAAAAACCTCTCCAACGCTAAATCTTAATAAAGCTCACACACAAAGAGGGTTGGCGCCCGTCGTGCAGCTCGGAGGCTCTGCAGGGAGGAGAATGTGGAGGGGACTGCGAGAGACGAGTGTGGGCTGACTGTGGCAGGAAGGAACAGAACAGGGAGGCAGTCCATGTGTTTCTACTTTAGTCGGCACGTCAGGCAAGGCTGAAATTAGTTGTGATTTACTGGAATGCGCTGCTTACTGCTCACAGCACAGAGAGGCAGGGAGCTAACGCTGCACTAGAGGCGGGGGAAAGAATCGATTCTGTTCAGTATCGCAATATTTTCCGCACGTAATTAAAACGATACAGGAGAGAAAAGTGTAGCGATGTTTAATGAAATGATTCTCTGTTTGACTTTTGGGTTTTCTCTGCTTTTACTCTGGGGTGTATGTGGCTCTCTGATGTCTGCTGGTTGTGGCTCTAATCTGTTGTATGTGAGTAATTTAAGTGATCCTGGGAGCTCACCTTCATGTGAGATTCATCTGTTAAAGGAGCAGTATGTAAAAATCTGGCCAAACGTGGTACTGCAGCCTCTCCCACTCTCCCTGACTCAGGTTGCCAGATATGCAGACGATTTTTGCATATCTGGCAAACAACTATAACCAACACTTTTTTCACAAAGGCCCCAATAGAAATCCTTGTTTTAGCTTGACGCGGTGAGTTCTGGCGCCCGGATCACAGACTTTCTGATTGGTAAAACGGTGGAGGGCGGGACATCGAAATTAAACCAATGACAAGATTTAAGTGCTTTAAAACAAATTTGGAAATTCAAATATCTCTGAACTACTGTTATCAGTTAGGGAAGTATCAGAAAAGAACATGTTTTATTAATGCCCTTTGACAGATTAGGACCCTTTAATGATGACTTGAAATGAAAATCTGGCTACTTTAACAATATACATGTAGATATCTTGTCCTGCACTACCCTCCTAAGTGTTTTCTTCGGTTCGTGTGCAGACCATAATAAATGTCAAATTTGAGTTGAGTCTTATTTTCTTCTGTTTGTGCAATGCTTTTGAATAATATGAAGGACATGAATCGCAATATATCGCATAATTCACTTTTAAAGCTTGAACTAACTTTCTTTTGATTGCATTTCCTCTGGGTTTAACACTAAAATCATGCCATGAGTTTGTGAGGATTGTTTTTCTTTACTTCACCCCTTCCCATGTGTGTCGTAACCACTGACACACACACACACACCCACACACACACACACACACCATTCCTTAACGCATGCTAGTAATCCATGTAGTTGTCATTATTCACTCATAGTTTCAGTGTTTTTGTTCCTTTTTTGGCTTTTTTCCCCTTTTCTTTTGTTCCTTTCCGGCCATTTTTCTACCGCTACCGTTACCTTCACACCTTTCACACCACTTGCATTTCCGCGGTCCTGCCTCTCCCGCCTTCTAGACCCAAAGACCAGTTGATCCGAGAGCAGATAACAGTGCTGCTGCCCACTGGTCCAGGGGGAAAGCGGCAAGTCTCCACCAGGTCAGTGCTTCCTGGTCCCCCACAGTCCACCATAAAGGACCGTGAACTACAAGCTGTTGGTTTATTTAGTTGTACAAAGGTTCTATTAACTCACTAACTGGACATGTCTCAGATGTACTTTGATGCGAGACCATGTGGAAGAAAATTATACGAGTTTAAGAGATTTTGTTTGTTTGTTTGTCCCAACAGTGGGGAAAGGTCAGTGTTGTATCACCGGTTACAGAACAGTAGTGGAATCAGGAGCACACAGCACAAGATAAATGAACTATAACTCTATAATCAAATCCAATTAAATTTCCAACTTTAGCATAAAAAAACCGTTTATGCATTATGAAGGAGTAGGAATTAAGTACAAAATCTCTGAGTTTAGCACAATAAAGAAGTACTAGTATGATCTCTACCATATTTTTTTTTTTTCTGTGCAGCACTTTGGGCAGGCTTTGCTGTTGTAAATGTGCCATAGAAATACATTTGACATTCACATCCAAACCAATCCAATCCACTTTATTTATATAGCACATTTTATAAAACAAGTTTCCAAAGTGCTGCACAGAGATAAAATCCATCCATCCATCCATCCATTTTCTACCCATTAATCCATTTCTGGGTCATAGCACCAGCCCCTCACTGATCCTCTGTAGGTGGTGAGTCCACAGGAGGACGGCTGCTCTCTGAGTGTGAGCATAGCCTTGATCTTTCAGTGGGGGCTTTGGGCAAAGTGGGGTTAAGTGTCTTGAAGAGATAAAATCAACACATTTAAATATGCGCAAAGTAAAAACAATACAAATTTAATAAAAACAATAAAATACCAGTAAACTATAAACATGTGATAAAAACAATAAAATACTAGTTATCCGATTTAAAAAGAATAAATAAATAAATAAAACAATAAAACTAATAAAATAGGACCACACAACTCACGCGGTGTTAAAAGCCAGAGAGTAAAAATGCGTCTTAAGACGAGACTTAAAACATTCCAACGAGGGAGCAGTTTTGACGTGGGGGGGGGCAGAGCGTTCCAGAGCTTTGGTCCAGCCACAGAGAAGGCCCTGTACCCCCGAGTTTTAAGCCTCGTCTGGCACCACGAGCTGGAGCTGGCCCTCGGACCTCAGCGCGCGGGGCGGGTGATAAATTTGGATGAGGTCCGAGATGTAGGGAGGGGCCAGTCCGTTCAAAGCTTTAAAAACAAACAATAAAATCTTAAAATCAATTCTAAAATAAACAGGAAGCCAGTGCAAAGAAGCTAAAACCGGTGAAATGTGCTCACGTTTTTTGGTTCCTTTTAAAAGCCGTGCCGCGGAGTTCTGGACTAGCTGTAAGCGGGAAAGTGCCTTCTGTGAAATCTCAGTGTAAAGTGCATTACAGTAGTCCAGACGTGAAGAAATAAAAGCGTGCACGACTTGTTCAAAAAGTTTAAAGGATAAAAAAGGCTTTACCTTAGATAAAGAAGCAAGTGTAGAATACAGTTTATTTTAGAGCCATAAATATATTCTTGTGTGTAAACATCTGCACACACTGTATTTGCAGCGTGAGGGTTTATTTGTATATTACAATTCATACATAAAATCATAAATAATCACAGTACGTTGAAAAGAGTGACGACACAATCCTTCAGTCAATGCAGCTAAAAAGAACAGTTTTTAACCTGGATTTGAACATGGTCAGAGAAGAAGCCTGTCTCACATTTTCAGGAAGACTGTGTGGGGTTGGGACAAAGTGACTCTGTAAAGTGACAGTGTGGTTCTGTGTTGCACATTCTGACATTATTCAAACTATTATTGCACAAATGCACAACAAGTGAGGTCAGGTTTAGCGGCTCGGTCTCGTGTATTTTTCCTGGACAGTGACTTCGACACGATGCGATTGATAAAATCCTCGTTATTTTATGACGATCTTTGAGATATTAGCTGCGTGTCTCTGCTCTGCTCAAAGAAGCCACCAGTCTTTTCATTTATTCATTTATTTGACAGGGACATTGCAGGTCAACACGGAACAAAACAAGCGTGTCACTGCGACGATTCAAAAAGAGTTTGTGGCTATTGCTAATTCTCAACTGCAGCCCCTGGGCCTTTCTATCCTACATTCACATTTTGAATATTATCTTTAAAACTTTCCTATATACACTGTTTAAATCATTTACACAAACTCAGCGCTATTTACAAATTTACAAATGGGTACAATTCTGTTTTGATTTCAGCCAGGACTTAACTCGAGAAGTGAACATTTTAAACTCAGTCATGGTTTTTTCTACACATTCACGGGACTTGGGAGACACCAGACCAATCATCTAGGATCTGGGATAAGCCACGACCAACAGAACTGGGTTTGGATGTTTTGATTTGGTCGGTTTGTTCTGAACATAATGCTTGAATTAATTCTCGCCGTGGTTCATAAAAGTCGTTTGAAGCGGCCATTTGTGTTGTAGAGATTTTTCCAAAACCAGATATTTGGCGTTTGAATTGAATCAGTGGTTTGCTAATTCATCCTCGATATAAACACTGTGGCAGGACTCTGACTCGTGGACGGAGAAATCTCTGCTGCAGCTTCTTCAGATTATTAAATGTGATTCTCGTTTTATAACCGTCTCATATTCACCTCTGAGCACCACACACACAACACACACAGGCTTTGATTTCAGACATCAGGGCTCTTTAAGCTACCACTCTCCAAATGTTGTTTTGTTCTTATACCTATTTAATGCTATGTTTATTGTTAATGTTCACATTAACAATAAACTGGACTGGTCCCATAATACAAACGCCCTGCACAAGAAGGGCCAAAGTCGCCTCTTCCTTCTGAGGAGGCTGAGGTCCTTCGGAGTGAGCAGGCCTCTGCTCAGGACTTTTTATGACTCTGTGGTAGCCTCAGCCATTTACTACGCTGCCGTGTGCTGGGCCCCGGGCAGCACAGAGCGGGACAGAAACAGACTGAACAAGCTGGTCAGGAGGGCCAGCTCCACTCTGGGCTGCTCCCTGGACTCTGTGGAGGAGGTGAGGGACAGGAGGCCCCTGGACTCTGTGGAGGAGGTGAGGGACAGGAGGCCCCTGGACTCTGTGGAGGAGGTGAGGGACAGGAGGGTGCTAGTCAAAGCCACCTCCATCATGAAAAATACCACCCACTGCACAGGACTGTAGAGGAGCTGAGGAGCTCCTTCAGTGGAAGACTGAGGCACCCTCAGTGGAAGAAGGAGCACTACCGCAGGGCCTTTATCCCCACTGCTGTCAGGCTGTACAATAAGTCACTTTAAGTCACTGTATAAGACTGAAAAACAAAAACAAAAAAACAAACCTGCACTACTACTATTGACACTATATCTGACTGCCACTTTAAATTGCCACTTTTATTGTACATAATTATCCTGCATGTAACATGTTTGCACATTTCCTCCTTTTGCACAATCTGAGTGTTCTGTCCATGCCAAATGTGACATGTAAATTTCTCCTTGTGAGATAAATAAAGCACATCTTATCTTATCTTATCTTATCTTATCACACAAACACACATTGAATACATAAAATTATAATAATATAATAATACTCCAGACTTGAGGTCCAAATAAAAGACAATACAAAGACACCACAAGACACAGACAAAAAAGACGTGTTGCACTAAACTTAACATTCACAAAAACTACCTCAACTTGATATTTAGACTCGTTCAAACGGCAAATAAACCAGAGCCATGTATTTCTCAGACTTCAGTTTGTTCTGGTGCTCACAAGCAACTCACAATCTGGGTTTTTTTTATCGCATCCTCAGAGCGTCATCGAAGGCTACCTGCAGATTCTGAAGACAAGCTTTTTTATTGTTCAGCCATAGATGTTATAGATGAATGAATTGAAAGAAATTAGACTATTGTTAAAAGGTCATTTTACTGTAATTCTGCTGTTCAACGTATTTAAGGCAGACTAATTACAAATGAGATCGATCAAGCCTTCATTTTGTTACAGGCCAAAATGCCCAACAACAAGAAAACCAAATAAAACATCCCAGAAAACTTGAATAGTTGAAATAAGTACGATAAGCCATAATCATTAACTTTACCAACCACAAGCTTTATCATGTATTGGTTTCTCATTGTACGTTGAATTACAGCTATACATTTGCAGGGTATTCTACTTTTCAGAGTTTCTCCTTTAAATGTCTACAGACTCCAGACATGTATCCAGTCTACATGAAGGTCTTATCGGCTGCTTTTGAATGAACGTGTTTGATTTTCCATAATGCATGTGGCTGAAGTCTCTTTTATTGAGCCATGTTGGAGGTTGAACTGTCTCCCAGTCTCCCAGTGAGACTCGCACACAGAGGCCAGACACGACACACACACTCGTAAACTCACTCTGTGGCAACCATAGATATGATTCTGCCTTCCTGCTTTGCACCATCTGTGAACGGAGGAGATGGGCAACATGTTTAAACGGAAAAATCAACATTAATCCGATGCGTTTCTACGGGTTACCGCCTCTTCCAGCAGCTAAATGTAGTTAGATTTGTCTTTCTAAATGTTTACATAATGCACGAGCAAACGCTGCAGCACAGAGTCTGCACTTCTTCTTCTACTATAATCAGATTGTCACAAGGCGAGACAAAGGAGGGACCCAAAAGCCAGGAACGCAAATTATATGGATTTAATGAAGATAAAATAAAAGTCCAAGGTACAAACGAAAAACAGCCAAACATAGACAAAGACTACAGTATTAGTTTATCACTACTGTGTTTGGAGCGAAAGATAATAACATGTGAAACGTCTTTGAGCATCCTGAAAAGCACTGAATAAAAGAGATGTATTATTTGTTTGACTTTCTACAAACAGGCCATCAGTGTTTTCATGCTTTTAAATACATTATTTGCATTATATGAATCTATCTTTTTCCCCCCATACATTGTATCATCCTCGCCCTCATTTCAAGAACGCAGCCTCGAAGGTGGACTTTGTGCCCGAGTGACTAATCCAGACAACCATATGTCAGTGATTCTGGGGCACTGAGCCAGAGCAGAGTAAGCTAACAGAGCAGAGTGAGCTAACAGAGCAGAGAGAGCTAACAGAGCAGAGAGAGCTAACAGAGCAGAGTGAGCTAACAGAGCAGAGAGAGCTAACAGAGTAGAGAGAGCTAAGAGGGCTATGCAGGACGGCAAAACACAGGGACAGAGAGCATCCATATGTGAGCAATCATTTCTCACAGGCTTTATTCATCTCAGTGCATTACATTACATTACTAAAAATGTGTTGGTCTAACAAATATTTTTGTTTATTCCAGGAGACAGCAACGACCTCAGGGTGGAGGAGGAGGAGGTGGAGGAGGTCATCACATCCAGCAGGCGCCACAGCATCAGAGAGATCTAACACCGCATCAGCAGCCGTCTCCAAACCACAGCCCGAGCGAACTGGGAGACGGTAGAATCAACAACGGCGCTCGACCCCCACGCCACGGCCCTCGCCAAGGCGCACACCCCCAGCACGGCTACAGCCAGAACCGCCGCTGGCAACACAACCAGAAAGGTCCACAAGAGTACACACAGACGCACACCGTGGAGGAGAGAGAGTTCACCCCAAGAACTACCAAAGATGTAAAGAATGACAGGCCGAGCGCGGAGCCCGAGGACTGCTCCAAAAAGAGTCCCGCCGAAACGCAACCGCGGCCACACCCTGTATCAGCCAATCACGAGCGAAGAGACCCCCCGCAGAAGGAGGCCCCCACACCGACGAGCGGAGAGGAGCAGGAGCACAAAGTCAGCCTGCTGCAGTCGTCCAGAGAGGGGCTGAGGAAGCGGCTAAAGGACAAGGTACCGAAAGCTGCTTACGACCTGTCAATCAGCACTAAGCCAATCAGGACGCAGCGACTGTTTGAGAACTGTGCTATTTAAGCTTTGAACGTGCATTATCCTTTAGACTCAGACTAGTCCATTATGGTTTAGACTCAGACTAGTGCATTATCCTTTAGACTCAAGACTAGTGCATTATCCTTTAGACTCAGACTAGTGCATTATCCTTTAGACTCAGACTAGTGCATTATGGTTTAGACTCAGACTAGTGCTTTATGGTTTAGACTCAGACTAGTGCATAGTTTCCAGCATGAGCACGTCAACTTGTAGCCTTGATGTTTTGCCCACTAGGTTTTTTAAGTTAGTGGTAGGCAGTTTTCTCTCAGTCCTCACTGAAATAATCAATTTATCCCTTCAATCAGGAACTTTCCCTGCGGCTCTTAAAGTCGCAGTCATCAGGCCTCTTATAAAGAAAAGCAGTCTTGATGCCACAGTACTGCAAAATTATCGACCAATTTCAAATCTGCCATTTCTGGGAAAGATACTTGAAAAAGTTGTTCATCAACAACTCGTGGATTTTTTGTTAGTCAACAACATATTCAATGTGCATCAGTCTGGATTTAGACCGTCCCATAGCACTGAGACTGCACTAATAAAGGTGACTAATGATGTTCGACTGAACACTGATGCTGGGAACACTTCAGTGTTAGTTCTATTAGATTTGAGTGCGGCCTTTGATACGGTTGATCATGAAATCCTCTTGGAGAGACTGGAAAAGTGGGTGGGTATTTCTGGTACTGCCCTTGATTGGTGTAGGTCCTACCTGCAGGACAGAATGTATGTTGTAGAAATAGGAGACTGTGCTTCAGATCATATGGCACTGACATGTGGAGTGCCCCAAGGGTCAATCCTGGGGCCTCTCCTATTTAATATCTACATGCTGCCACTAGGCCAGCTAATCCACAGAAGCAATGTGTCCTATCACAATTATGCAGATGACACCCAATTATATGTTTCACTTACTGCAGGGGAATATGGACCAATACATTCCCTCTGCCAGTGCATTCAAACGATCAGTGAGTGGATGCAAAACAATTTCCTTCAACTTAACCCAGATAAAACTGAAGTTATTGTTTTTGGCCCACAAAAACAAAGAGAAAGTATTAACAGTTACATCCAGTCTCTCTCCTTAAAACCAACAAATGAAGTAAGAAATCTTGGGGTAGTAATGGACTCTGACCTTAAATTTGATAGGCACATAAAATCTATAACATCAGCAGCCTTCTATCATCTAAAAAATATTGCCAAAATTAAAAATATGTTGTCTAAATCAGATATGGAAAAACTTATCCATGCATTTGTCACTAGTAGGTTAGACTACTGCAATGGCCTGCTCACAGGTCTGTCCAAACAGGCTGTAAAACAGCTGCAGTACATCCAAAATGCAGCAGCTCGAGTCCTGACTAGAACCAGGAAATACGACCACATTAGTCCGGTCCTCAGGTCTCTGCACTGGCTTCCTGTGGCTCAGAGAATTGATTTTAAAGCAGCTCTGCTTGTGTACAAGTCTCTCCATGGTCTTGCACCGAAGTACATTGGTGACATGTTGGTGCCGTATGAGCCAACTCGGACTTTGAGGAGCACAGGGACTGGACTCCTGATGGTGCCCAGAGTCCGGACTAGGCATGGAGAGGCTGCATTTCAGGTGTATGCCCCAAAAATCTGGAACAGCCTTCCTGAGGATGTACGGGAGGCCTCATCTTTAGCATTATTTAAGTCTAAGCTGAAAATCGTTCTTTTTAGCTGTGTATATGACTGACTTTTATATATTGAGCTTTTTATACCGTTTTTAATTATGAAATTCAGTTTGAAATGTTTATTTTTATGCAACAATTATTATTGTTTTTGTTATTATTTTATATTACGTTTTATGTGTTTTAAAATGTTTGTAAATGTGTATGATCTTGTGTTCTTGTGAAGCACTTTGGGCTGCACTGCATGAATTGTGCTTTATAAATAAACTTGATTGATTGATTATGGTTTAGACTCAGACTAGTGCATTATGGTTTAGACTCAGACTAGTGCATTATGGTTTAGACTCAGACTAGTGCATTATGGTTTAGACTCAGAGTAGTGCATTATGGGTTTAGACTCAGACTAGTGCATTATGGTTTAGACTCACACTAGTGCATTATGCTTTAGACTCAGACTAGTGCATTATCCTTTAGACTCAGACTAGTGCATTATGGTTTAGACTCAGACTAGTGCATTATCCTTTAGACTCAGACTAGTGCATTGTGGTTTAGACTCAGACTAGTGCTTTATGGTTTAGACTCAGACTAGTGCATTGTGGTTTAGACTCAGACTAGTGCATTATGGTTTAGACCAGGGGTCGGGAACCCAAAATGTTCAAATTTTAATTGACAAAAAAACTAAAAACAACATCTGTCTGGAGCCGCAAAAAAATAACAGCCTTGTATAAGGCTTTTATGAAGTTAACACAGGCTGCAAGATGTATTAGCTATATTAGCCTAATATCTAATACCTAAAGTAAAGGCTACAAATACATAATAATCATTCATGATTATCAAATGTGTGTTTTCACTGCAGCGTGTCGTGAATGACGCAACACGTGACGACTCTGCTTTAGTTTAACTTCCATTTTTTTGCCTTCATGCAATTGTAGAAATACAGTAAATCAATCTGCTTTGGGCTCAGAGGTCACACACCTACATCACTGTCTGCTCATATCCATCACGTCACAGGCTGAAGTTTGCTGGAGCTGAATTAAAATCCTTAATGGCCTTTTCTTTCACCGTCTTTGAGAAGGTTTTGAAGTCTGAAAATAGGTGCTCTGAATTTATGATGAATGAATCCTTCACGTAATCACCGTTTACGGTGTTTTGCGCGTCATTGTTCCTCGCGTTGCAACAAAACTTTTCATTACAAACATGAAGCAGTCCTTCCTCATTGACTGAAAGAAAATGTTCATTGTCATTCTTAGTCCAGTCTTGTTATCGACTCTTTCTCGTTTTAGCTTTGGGATCCATGTGCACTTACAGTCTATGATGCACACACGCCGGTTTGTTTACAGCAGCGGCCGCATGGGGCGGAGCCGCGTGACCGATTAGATATTACTTATACATATTTTTACAGCATTTAAAAACGTTAAGATTGTTTTTCCTTCTACAGAAACCACATTCAAACTAGAAATAAAATATAGCCCTCACACTCCATTTTCAGAAATTTTTGAAAAGGCTCCAGGAGCCACTCCAGGAGCACTCAAGAGCCGCATGCGGCTCCGGAGCCGCGGGTTGCCGACCCCTGGTTTAGACTCAGACTAGTGCTTTATGGTTTAGACTCAGACTAGTGCATTGTGGTTTAGACTCAGACTAGTGCATTATCCTTTAGACTCAGACTAGTGCATTATCCTTTAGACTCAGACTAGTGAACTTACTGCCACTTATCTGTGTTTAGTTTGTTTTGGTTAAACTTCAAAGAGGAGAGACTGAAGTACTGTAGCATTACACTGCAAAAAAAAGATTAGGACCAGTGAGAGGGAGCAGAGAGAGAGAGTGAGACCAGAGAGAGAGACCAAAGAGAGGGGCCAGATAGAGGGACCAGAGAGAGACCAGACACAGAGCGAGAGAGATCAAAGAGAGGGACCAGATAGAGGGACTAGAGAGGGGGACCAGAGAGAGAGACCACAGTGAGAGGAGGGACCAGAGAGAGAGACTAGAGAGAGGATCCAGAGAGAGAGACCAGAGAGAGAGGGACCAGAGAGAGAGACCACAGTGAGAGGAGGGACCAGAGAGAGAGACTAGAGAGAGGAACCAGAGAGAGAGACCAGAGAGAGAGGGACCAGAGAGAGAGACCACAGTGAGAGGAGGGACCAGAGAGAGAGACTAGAGAGAGGAACCAGAGAGAGAGACCAGAGAGAGAGGGACCAGAGAGAGAGACCACAGTGAGAGGAGGGACCAGAGAGAGAGACTAGAGATAGGAACCAGAGAGAGAGACCAGAGAGAGAGGGACCAGAGAGAGAGACCACAGTGAGAGGAGGGACCAGAGAGAGAGACTAGAGATAGGAACCAGAGAGAGAGACCACAGTGAGAGGAGGGACCAGAGAGAAACCAGATAGAGGGACTAGAGAGAAGGACCAGAGAGAGGGACCAGAAAAATAAAAGGGTTCCAGAGCTTTCTTCTCGTGAGGGCACTTTCAGGTTTCCATGGAGCCTGGTGTGATGCCCCAGAGGAGGCTGTGGCTGTGGTCCGATCCACCCACAGATCGATCCCTTCAAACATTAAATAATAACATCTGATTATTCTGTGATTGAAATACTGCCGCAGAGGAAACAGGCGTGTAGTAAATGTGGTTCAGCAGAGACGGTGGTTTAGAGGAATTGAAAATGTGTTAGAATTTGATTCCATTAAAAAAAATGAACTTTTAAAGAATGCGAAAGAAAGAGAGTGATGTCCTCAGCTCACAGCGAGGAGAGAGAGGTGTAGGGTTAGTGTGTATGTGTGTGTGTTTGGGAATAAGTGTGTCTTGTCTGTGTGAATCACTGTGTGTCTGTGTGTGTGTGTGTCGTATCTATGTGAAAAAGTGTGTGTGTTCATCTCATGCCATCGGTGTGTGTGTGTGTGTTGTCTCATGCCATCGGTGTGTGTGTGTGTTATCTCATGCCATCGGTGTGTGTGTGTGTGTTGTCTCATGCCATCGGTGTGTTGATATGCGTGTGTGTGTCTTTTCTGTGTGTGGGTGTGTGTGTGTGCGTATGTGTCTTGTCTTTGGGAGTAAGTGTGGGTGTGAATCAGTGTGTGTGTCTTGTGTTTGGGAATAAATGTGTCGTGTCTGTGTGAATAAGTGTGTCTCCGTGTTGTCTCATGCCATTGTTGTGTTAATGTGTGTGTCTTTTCTGTGTGTGTGTGTGTGTGTCTTGGTCTTGTTTTGTCTGAAGCCATTGGTGTGTTTGTGTGCGTGTCGATTTTTGCTTCATTCAAACCCTTTTCAAAGGTATTTTGTGTTTTTCTTGTTCTATTTTCCTGTGAATAATTGTTGTGTAACCTGTGCATGTCTGAAACTAACAAACGACACAAACTGAAATGTCCCCACGTCGCTCGCACACAGGAGGAGGTGTGTGTGGAGTCGGGCCCCGGGGGGAGGAGCATGGACCGCCTGGTGGAGCTCCTCAACAGCATGAGGAGCAACAGCAGCGGCGTGGAGCAGCAGCTGGCCTCCTTCATGCAGGAGGCGCAGAGCTCAGCGCGCTGCGAAGAGAGCCTCGTGCAGGTGGTCAGCGCCATCTACTCCACGGCGCTGTCCGACCGGAGCTTCGCCGCCACCGCCGCCAAACTGTGCGACCGCATGGCACTGTTCATGGTGGACGGGACCAAGTTCAGGTCTCTGCTGCTGAACCTGCTGCAGGTGAGAGCAGCGTCTGCACTCAGAGCTCACACTTTACTAATGAAATGGGGTTTTTTATTACTACAATGAATTAGACCGAGCTTTAGCCCCGCCCACATCAGATTTCAGCGGGCGTGTCTGGCCTCGCTCCATTGCAAACTATTATGGGGCGGGTTCCAACTGAGCCAAGAAACACAATCCCTATTCGCTCTATTGGATTGTACAACAACCAGAGTCCAACAACCAATCAGAACAGAATTATGACGTTACGCAACAAGTTACTGCAAAAAGTTATGAAAATATGTCAAAATGTTTCCAAATTTGGAAAAATGAAGCTTACCTTAAGCACATTCTTGCCTTAAAACACGATTGGACAATGGGACAAAGCAAAATGATCTTGTTTTAAAAAGATGCAAAAAGCGTCTCCTGAAATAACCCTAATGACTTTGTCCCGTTGGAGAATCTGGTTTAAACACAGTCAGAATGTGATAAATTAATACAAAAAGCACTTGATTCAATCAATTGTCACCTCATATTTAATTATACATTTTTGCAGTGTGTAAAAACACATACAAATGGTAATAAGAAATGGTGAGACTGTTGCGTCTGTGTCCCGTCAGTTCCGATCTCTCAGATGTGAACATTTCCGTTCCTCTTTTCCGTCTCTTTTTCCAGGCGACAGTAACGGCTCCGTTCACAGATGTCTGGTCTCGTCTTCCTCTCATTCCCACACTCTCGCTGGGACCCCCTCCTTCTCTTTGACATTTGAGCCTTTAGTTTTAAAACGTTTGAAATGTCATGAGAGGTTTCTTAAAGGCCCTCATTAATGACGCTGCGTGCGGACTCCTGGAACTCATTATGGAGCCAATGAGTGCCAGAGCCAGGAATGCCTCACCGTTTATTGTCCAAAACCTTTTCTTTAACTTGTGTTCTCAGGGCCCATACCAACACGGTTATATGGTATTTAATTTCTGGTTAAAAAAAAACCTAAAAAACAGAAACGGTAATCTTTATTATCTTTATTTTATACAGAGGGCGACTCAAAGTGCTGAAGTAAACAAGAAAATAACCATTAAAATCACACACTGCACTAAAGCAGGCCGGTCAAACTCAGGCTCGGGGCCTAAATCCAGCTCGTAAGACCATGTTTAGTGGCCCCTAAAGTTCATTTATTATCAGTCACTTTTTATGGTCATGGGCGACCAAGGCAAGTTATCTATTTTCTCAGGAAAACAACCACATTTAATTTATTCTGCCATTTTTAACAAACACATCATTAGAAGGTGAATATAAAACAATGTGTTTAACTTTATATTTGGTCCAGTTTTGGTTAAATCCAAGCAATAAATACATTTGTTATCCAGAAAAAAACCCCAAAAAAACAGTGAAATTCATGTCAAACAAAAGCCATGTCAAAATAATAATTAATCATAATGTAAAAAACAATTATATAAAAAGAAAATCCCTTCTACTCTTTCGGCCCTTGATCTTCTCTGACAATGTTTAATCCAGGTTATAATCAGTTCTGTTTCGCTGCAGCAACTGAGGGATTTTATCTTCACTCTTTTTAACGTTCTGTGATTATTTACTATAAACAGTATGATTTTAATGCCTTGTGTTGTTTCTATCTTTGAGTTGCCTTTTGTATGAACTGTGCCACACAAATAACCCTGCCCATTGTCCATCTACACACGGTTCTGATTGGCCTCTGTGCGTGTCCTCCACAGATGGATTTCTTCGCCCGAGAGCGGCTGCGGCAGACGGACGTGGAGAAGTGGTTAGGCTTCATCACGTTCCTGTGCGAGCTGTTCGGAGCCATGAGGAGCAGCTCGGGGCAGCCCTACAGAGTCCTGGTCTGCCCCATCTTCACCTGTCTGCGGGAGGTACGCCTGTGTACACTGCTGCTCCTGGCTCTGGAACGTCTGTGGAAGCTGCATGTTTTGTAGCTGTGGGGGAAAAATGTGTTCTGTTCAGTAGAGAGGCACCCATTGTGAAATGTTGGGCCGATACCAATGTTTTACAACTTGGCTCAATGGTTTTTATTTTTGTTATTTTTATTTATATATTTCTTGGCGTCTTCAGCGTTTTTCTTCAGCTTCATGCAGTCGCTGTACACCGCCCCATCCTTCTCAAATGTCCAATGAGATTCGTTGTTTTAAATGATTTACTCTTGACATCTCACTGAACACGTGCAAACTGCATGACGCTCTTTCTTTGTTTCTTCTACTGAGGAAAGTATCTCTTTGCACACGTCTACCATCAGCGAATGTCATTTTCATTTTCCGATGGTAGTTAACAAGGCAAACATCGGCCAATACTGAGTGTATAGAATCAATATTTTAGTTAGCTGGAACCAACTTCCTTAGCATTTGTTTTCCGACGGCGTTAGCATCGCACAGTAACAGAGGCAGTGTTGCTAAGACGGTTGCTAAGGAAGCAAACGAAGGCATCTGATTAGTGAATACCTGGATTTAGATAATTCCCCTGTGACCCGCTCCCGGGAGGCTGGGACTACAAATGCTAATTAGCCTTGGCTACAAAAGTGTTCAACCATATATGACGTGTAAAACAGTCTATGGTTCGGTCGCACCAACATCAGTTCCATAAAAAGTGGTGATTTTTCAGGAGCTGGTGGTTTCTCAGACACAGTTCCTCCGTCTCGAGCTGCAGCCGCCGCAGACAAACTGTGATGTGGAAGTGGAATCAGCAAAGAGAAATGTTCAAGGGGGAAGTTGATGATGAGACCAGACTGTGGTCCAGACTCACTGAGAAACAGGACACACTTTTGTTACAATGAAAGATGTAGAAAATCATAAATAATCACAGTACATTAAAAAGATTCAGTTGTATCAACTGCTAAACAACAGAACAGTTTTTAACCTGAAGCCTGTCTCACGTTTTCAGGATTTTAGCTACATACAAATAGAAATGCTCTTTTTTGTCCTGACTCTGGGCAGGAGACCAGTCCCTGTGCTCCTCAGAGTCCCAGCAGGAGACCAGTCCCTGTGCTCCTCAGTCCCAGCAGGAGACCAGTCCCTGTGCTCCTCAGAGTCCCAGCAGGAGACCAGTCCCTGTGCTCCTCAGAGTCCCAGCAGGAGACCAGTCCCTGTGCTCCTCAGAGTCCCAGCAGGAGACCAGTCCCTGTGCTCCTCAGAGTCCCAGCAGGAGACCAGTCCCTGTGCTCCTCAAAGTCACAGCAGGAGGCCAGTCCCTGTGCTCCTCAGAGTCCCAGCAGGAGACCAGTCCCTGTGCTCCTCAAAGTCACAGCAGGAGGCCAGTCCCTGTGCTCCTCAGAGTCCCAGCAGGAGGCCAGTCCCTGTGCTCCTCAGAGTCCCAGCAGGAGACCAGTCCCTGTGCTCCTCAAAGTCACAGCAGGAGGCCAGTCCCTGTGCTCCTCAGAGTCCCAGCAGGAGGCCAGTCCCTGTGCTCCTCAGAGTCCCAGCAGGAGGCCAGTCCCCGTGCTCCTCAGAGTCCCAGCAGGAGGCCAGTCCCTGTGCTCCACAGAGTCCCAGCAGGAGGCCAGTCCCTGTGCTCCTCAGAGTCCCAGCAGGAGGCCAGTCCCTGTGCTCCTCAGAGTCCCAGCAGGAGGCCAGTCCCTGTGCTCCTCAGAGTCCCAGCAGGAGGCCAGTCCCTGTGCTCCACAGAGTCCCAGCAGGAGGCCAGTCCCTGTGCTCCACAGAGTCCCAGCAGGAGGACAGTAACATGTCAGGGATGTACTTTAGTGAGAGTTGTAGACAGCAGCTGCTTTAAAGTCTGCTCTGTGAGTGTTTTATGTAATTGGTACACAGAGCACACAGATCACTCTTGCATAAGGAATCCCTGTAGATGAGAGCGGTGCCTTCGGAGACAGCAGGCGCGTGGAAACAGGATAAAGAAAATGCAGCAGACAGGAAAGGTGGTGATGGAAGACTATAGATTAGACGGTTTAATATAAAGTTGGCAGTGGCCTCCCCAGAGAACTCATTATGAACTAATCCAGTTTGTGGCAGAGCTCTCATCTCGAAGGACGACAAGACTTGACTTCCCACATCAAACGGTGTCACCACGCCCTGTTCAGCCACAGAGAGGAGCTGACGTCTGCTGCAGGAGCCTCTCTGCTCCTCTCTGCTCCTCTCTGCTCCTCGGGGAAACGCTTTCAATGTTATTTTCACCACAGATTTCAGATACATTGGTTATTTTTGGGCCTATCTTTGTAACACTTTGGCCTCGCACCAAACTAAATCTGTGACATGTTAGTATCATATGAACCAGCTCTGAGGAGCACAGGGACTGGCCTCCTGCTGTTCCAGGGTCAGAACTAACTATGGGGAGGCAGCATTTCTGTCTCTCTCTCTCTCCTCTGTCTCTGTCTGTCTCTCTCTCTCCTCTGTCTCTGTCTGTCTCTCTCTCCTCTGTCTCTGTCTGTCTGTCTCTCTCTCCTCTGTCTCTGTCTGTCTGTCTCTCTCCTCTGTCTCTGTCTGTCTCTCTCCTCTGTCTGTCTCTCTCTCTCCTCTGTCTCTGTCTGTCTCTCTCTCTCTCCTCTGTCTCTCTCCTCTGTCTCTCTCCCCTGTCTCTCTCCTCTGTCTCTCTCCTCTGTCTCTGTCTCTCTCTCCTCTGTCTCTCTCCTCTGTCTCTGTCTCTCTCTCTCCCCTGTCTCTCGCTTTCTCCCCTGTCTCTCTCTCTCCTCTGTCTCTGTCTCTCTCTCTCCTCTGTCTCTGTCTGTCTCTCTCTCTCCTCTGTCTGTCTCTCTCTCTCCTCTGTCTCTGTCTGTCTCTCTCTCTCCTCTGTCTGTCTCTCTCTCTCCTCTGTCTCTGTCTGTCTCTGTCTCTCTCCTCTGTCTCTCTCCCCTGTCTCTCTCCTCTGTCTCTCTCCTCTGTCTCTGTCTCTCTCTCCCCTGTCTCTCGCTTTCTCCCCTGTCTCTCTCTCCCCCCTGTCTCTGTCTCTCCCCCCTGCCTCTGTCTCTGTCTCTCTCTCTCCCCTGTCTCTCTCTCTCTCCTCTGTCTCTGTCTCTCTCTCCCCCCTGCCTCTGTCTCTGTCTCTCTCTCTCCCCTGTCTCTCTCTCTCTCCCCTGTCTCTCTCTCTCCTCTGTCTCTGTCTCTGTCTCTCCCCCCTGCCTCTGTCTCTGCCGCCGTGACAGTCATGGTCAGATTTACGACACGCTGCTGCAGTTGTGTGTTGTGTTGCTGAACCAGGGCCATTGTGCGTCCATCTGTGAGGCCTGGCTCCGGGGGGAAAGCCTCTGTGTTTATCTGCTCCTCTCTTTGTGTGTATCCTGAGGCGGATGTTGCTCTGAATTGTTTGCCAGCCTCAAACCCTCGTCCGTTATCCTCCAAGATTTAAAATGTTAATTCCAGAATTGTTTACACGTCGGATTAATTCTTTTCTCCCTCTTTTTTTTTCTGTGCAAAGATAAATAGACGCACCAACACTTGCATTTGTTTCATCTCCGCACGGGGTCTGTTCCAAATATACAGCCAGTGCATTATTTACACATCAGACTTGTTAGCTTTGGCCCACATACTGTGCGTTTGGGTGTCTTCAACTCCAATCTATTCTGATCATGAATTTCATTACTTTTGTCTGTGTTGCACAAATAGTTCTTGAGTTTTTGCTTTTGTTTTTCAGTTGCTGGATTCCAGAGAAGTGAAAGAAGATGCAGTCCTCTGCTGCTCCATGGAGGTATTAGTGTGTTTACGTCTGCCTGAGGGTCCGGGCCACAGCGACACATGTGGATCTATGTTGCACATTCTGACAGAAGAAAGAATCAATATGAAGGAAATCTGTTTGTTTTAGTGATTTCATCCTGATTCAGATTATATGAAAACAAGTGCTAGGATGACAGAATAAACATGTTTGAATGCATTTAGTCCAACAGCTGCTGTTGTTAGTGCAGAGTGCTCCTCCATGAGGCTCTTCACACTCTCACTCTCTCTCATTCTCTCCTCTCTCTCCCCTGTCTCTGTCCATCTCTCTCTCTCACTCTCTCCTCTCTCTCCCGTCTCTGTCCGTCTCTCTCTCTCACTCTCTCCTCTCTCTCCCCTGTCTCTGTCTCTCTCACTCTCTCCTCTCTCTCCCCTGTCTCTGTCCGTCTCTCTCTCTCTCACTCTCTCCTCTCTCTCCCCTGTCTCTGTCTCTCTCACTCTCTCCTCTCTCTCCCCTGTCTCTGTCTCTCTCACTCTCTCCTCTCTCTCCCCTGTCTCTGTCTCTCTCACTCTCTCCTCTCTCTCCCCTGTCTCTGTCTCTCTCACTCTCTCCCCTGTCTCTGTCCATCTCTCTCTCTCACGCTCTCCTCTCTCTCCCCTGTCTCTGTCCGTCTCTCTCTCTCTCACTCTCTCTTCTCTCTCCCCTGTCTCTGTCTCTCTCACTCTCTCCTCTCTCTCCCCTGTCTCTGTCCGTCTCTCTCTCTCACTCTCTCCTCTCTCTCCCCTGTCTCTGTCCATCTCTCTCTCTCTCTTGTCTCTCTCCCCCCTCTCTCTGTGAGGTGTCAGACTGTCTCGCACTGAGTCAGGAGTGTCTTTCCCTGTCTCTGTCTCTCTCCCCCCCTCCCCCCTCCTCCCTCTCCCCTCTCTCTCCTCCCTCTCCCCTCCCCCCTCTCCCCCCTCTCTCTGTCTGTGAGGTGTCAGACTGTCTCGCACTGCGTCTGAAGGTGTGTGGCCTCTGCTCTGGTTGCAGCTGCAGAACACGGGGCTGCTGCTGGAGGAGCAGCTCCCAGAGATGATGACCGAGCTCTTAGCCGCCGTGAGGGACAAGATGCTGTGTCCGTCGGCGTCTCCGCTCACGCGCTCGCTGCTCATGGAGGTCATCGAGCTGCACGCACACCGCTGGGTCCCTCTGGAGTCTCTGACCACACAGTACTACAACCGCACCATCCAGAAACTCACCGCATAGAGGCCTGCCAACAAAAAAATACATGTTTCATTGTTTTTTCACTTTATAAGTTACTGAGAACATTTGCATCGTGTCACGTCCCAGGACAAGGCCAGAGACATGCACCACACTGCAAAAAGTGATGGAAAATAGGTCAAAAATTGCTCAAATTTGGCAAAATGTATATTGTGTTGAGCACATTCGGACTGCTTTAAATCAAGATTTCCCAATGGGACAAAGCAAAATGATCTTGTTTTAAAAAGATAAAAGAAATGTCTCTCTTAGAATGTGAAAATAAAGCAACCGTTTTTGAAATAAGCCCTGTTCCATTGGAGAATCGTGTTTTAAGTCAGAACGTGCTCAGATTAGGATAAAAACACTCAATTCAAGCAGTTATTTCCTCATATTTGGTCATTTTTTGCAGTGCAGCAGGTGAGGGTTGTGAAGGGCAGACGTCACAGCTTCTGGGGAAGCCGTCTGCAGAGAGGAGCAGACGAGAGGGGGGTTGTGGTCCACAGGGAAAAGAGAAATCCTGCCGTGGATGAACAGAGCGAGGGAGTCAGGCCCTGTCCTTCATTGTGTTGTGTGTGTGTGTGCGTCCAGCCTGTGGGGCCGCGTGGCTGATGCTGTCTGGGCTGTCTGCACCCAGGGCCAGGACCGGGTCAAAGGGCTCCTGCCTCTTTGTCTGGACAGCCCTCCCCCATCCAGACCCCCCCAGACCCCAGCAGGACGTCCTCTTTGTGGGCTGCAGGATCAGACTGCGGCTTCAGTGCAGCAGCAGATGGTGGACTGAGACACACTCCCAACACACTCCCGACACATGCCTTCTGGCACCTGGTTCTGGTCCTAGTTCTGGTCCTAGTTCTGGTCCTAGTTCCGGGTCCAGAGTCCTAGTCTTGGGTCCTGGGTCCTGACTCCGCTGGGTCCTTGTGTCCTGAGTCGTGGGTCCCTGGTCCTGGTCCTTGGTCCTGGTCCTGGTTCTTGTCCTTGTGTTTATCATATTGAAATGTTTAAACCTATTTAAACTTTGTTAATGTTGAAATCATGATTTTACTCTAATGTTTTATTCTTGTTCCACACACTGCAAAAAATGATAAATTCGAGGTCATAAATGTTTTAATTTAGTGTTTTTAATCTTAATTTGAGCACATTCTGACTGTGTTTAAAAGAGATTCTCCAATGGGACAAAGCCATTTAGTTTTTTTCCAAGGGAGACATTTTTCTTTGTTCAGAATGTGCTCAAACTAAGATACATTTTTTTCCAAATTTTAGATTTTTTTGACTTATTTGTCATCACTTTTTGCAGTGTATGTCTTTGCTCATCGTCCGTGTAAGATATTTTACGATAGTCTTAATTGCACAAGTCGCCGGTGGGAGGGTCTCTGAGGACGGACGGTTGTGGCGACTCATTAGGTTGTTTTAATGAACTAGTGGCCTTGACAGCTCCCTGGTTTAAGTAGCTTTTTTAATTTAGGCTTAAAGTCTCAGAAGAGGGCATTCCCGTGACTCGTGGCGAAACAATATGCATTTACAGTCGGAGCGGGAACTGGTAAAAATGTGACGATTCAACAGTATTGCGATATTTGGGCCACAACTCAATATTATTGCGATTCTTTACATATCGCGATAGAGCGAGTATTACGATTCTGAGATGTGTTCATGTTACACGTGTCAGTCAAAGACGTATCGGACGTACGGCGGACGTACGACGCGAGGCTGCGACTGATTTAGGATGGATTTCTGATTTACTTTTCTCTCCTGTGTCGATTAATTGCGTGGGCAAAATATCGCGATACTGAACAGAATCGATTCTTTTTCCCCAGCGCTGATAAACTGTAAACAGATGTGACCGTCACGAGTCACGGACGTTTCTTTGTTTCTTCTCAAAGCCATTTTTTGCGGTGGACGTTTGAACATTGTCTGAAAAACCTTGATCGCTGTGGAAACGTTTTTCAGACGAAAGCGTGTAATTTACGATTATTTTTATTCAGTTACCGCTCGTTACGGGGAAAAGTATAATCCATTGTTCAGTATTTATACTTTTAAGTGAAGTAGGAAAGAAGGAGCATGAGGCGCACTGCGAGACCGAGGGAAGAATGAGGAGGTCATTCATCTGAGTTTATTCTGACTGTGGCAAAACAAGAGTTGTATCTTTCTACTCTCTCTCTCTAGTCTCTCTCTGGTCTCTCTCTAGTCTCTCTCTGGTCTCTCTCTGGTCTCTCTCTGGTCTCTCTCTGGTCTCTCTCTGGTCTCTCTCTGTTCTCTCTAGTCTCTCTCTGGTCTCTCTGGTCTCTCTCTAGTCCCGCTCTGGTCTCTCTTTAGTCTCTCTCTGGTCTCTCTTTGGTCTCTCTCTGGTCTCTCTTTGGTCTCTCTCTAGTCTCTCTCTGGTCTCTCTTTGGTCTCTCTTTGGTCTCTCTCTAGTCTCTCTCTGGTCTCTCTTTGGTCTCTCTCTGGTCTCTCTTTTGTCTCTCTCTGGTCTCTCTTTGGTCTCTCTCTGGTTTCTCTTTGGTCTCTCTCTAGTCTCTCTCTGGTCTCTCTTTGGTCTCTCTCTGGTCTCTCTCTAGTCTCTCTCTGGGCTCTCTTTGGTCTCTCTCTGGTCTCTCTTTGGTCTCTCTCTGGTCTCTCTCTGGTCTCTCTCTAGTCTCTCTCTGGTCTCTCTGTGGTCCCTCTCTAGTCTCTCTGTGGTCTCTCTCTGGTCTCTCTCTGGTCTCTTGCATTATTCTCTCATTTAAACGCAGTCAGAATCTGCTCATTCTTCTGGATTTGATCTTCCTCCTCTTCCTCCTCTTCTTCCTCCTCTTCTTCCTCCTCTTCTTCCTTCTCCTCTTCTTCCTCCTCTTCTTCCTCCTCTTCTTCCTCTCGGTGCAGAGCGTGGCGTAGGAAGCGGAGGTGTTTTCACTCTTCCTCCTTTGACTCTCGTTGGGGTTGTTTTAATTGTTTTGTAATATTCTCTGTCTTGCATCAAGAACTGAGAGCCGGTGTGGGGGACGCGCAGATTCTAGGATTATTATTGATATTATTGATATTATTGATTTTATTGATACTTTGGAACGGGATGAAAAATCTGTAACTCGCTATTTTTTTCTCTATATTATTTTAGGGTTTTATTTAAGTTATACATGCGTTTTTTTAATGAATCTATAACGTGTTCCTCCTTGTCGTGGATTAAAAAACATCTGTAAAAATCGACATTGCAAGTGTGTCATGAACGTGTGGACGCGCCCTCTCTGTCAGCTTGCATTGTGCAGAGGGGGCGGCTGGGGCAGAGGGGCCGGATGGGAGCCTCGCACAGATGCCCTTAGACCCTGGACTCGGCTCGGCTCGGGTCGGGTCGGTCTACGATTGTATGAGATGCACCTTTATTTACATTTTCTCATGAATATTGGAGACGCTGTTATTGTGCGACTGTGAGCGACGGACGCAGCGGTTGTTTTTCTAAACAACTGAAAAATAAAATCAACTAACGAAAAAGATGATGTTTGTGAGTCGTTTTTCATTCATTCATTTTCTCTCTCTGGTCTTTCTCTGGTCTCTCTCTGGTCTTTCTCTGGTCTCTCTCTGGTCTTTCTCTGGTCTCACTCTGGTCTTTCTCTGGTCTCTCTCTGGTCTTTCTCTGGTCTCTCTCTGGTCTTTCTCTGGTCTCTCTCTGGTCTCGCTTTGGTCTTTCTCTGATCTCACTCTTGTCTTTCTCTGGTCTCACTCTTGTCTTTCTCTGGTCTCACTCTGGTCTTTCTCTGGTCTCTCTCTGGTCTTTCTCTGGTCTCTCTCTGGTCTCTCTTTGGTCTTTCTCTGGTCTCACTCTTGTCTTTCTCTCATCTCTCTTTTGTCTTCCTCTGGCCTTTCTCTGGTCTCTCTTTGGTCTCTCTCTGGTCTTTCTCCCTGTCTCTGAACTGTGCCATACAAATAACCTTGACATAATTATTGTCACTTTATTGTACATATATATCCTGCATGTAACATGTTTGCACATTTCCTCCCTTTGCACAATCTGTGTTCTATCCATGCAAATGTGACATGTAAATGTCTCTGTGAGATAAATAAAGCGTATCTTATCTTATCTTTGCCGATGTCCGCTGCACTGGTCTCTTCTTCTGAAACAACAGAAACTAAATCAACTCATGTTTTAGAGGCCGCTCAAACAGTTTCCTAAATTGACAGAACAGGAAGTGATGTCATGACCTGTTGGCTTCCTGAATGAACTGTTACAGCTGCGCTTTCACTGAACCAGAGAGAGACCAGAGGGAGACCAGAGGGACCAGAGAGAGACCAGAGGGAGACCAGAGAGAGAGACCAGAGAGAGACCAGAGAGAGAGACCAGAGAGAGACCAGAGAGAGACCAGAGGGAGACCAGAGAGAGGGACCAGAGAGAGACCAGAGGGAGACCAGAGAGAGAGACCAGAGAGAGACCAGAGGGACCAGAGAGAGACCAGAGGGAGACCAGAGAGAGAGACCAGAGAGAGAGACCAGAGGGAGACCAGAGAGAGACCAGAGGGACCAGAGAGAGACCAGAGGGAGACCAGGGAGAGACCAGAGGGAGAGACCAGGGAGAGACCAGAGGGACCAGGGAGAGACCAGAGAGAGAGACCAGAGGGAGACCAGGGAGAGACCAGAGGGAGACCAGAGGGAGACCAGAGAGAGACCAGAGAGAGAGACCACGGAGAGACCAGAGGGAGACCAGAGAGAAAGACCAGAGGGAGACTGGAGAGAGACCAGAGATTAAGATTAAGACCAAAAAGAGACCAGAGACTAGATAGAGACCAGAGGGAGACCAAAGAGAGAGGCCAGAGGGAGACCAGAAGTCTCTGGTTTCTCCCTGGTCTCTCTCTGGTCTCTCTCTGGTCCCTCTCTGGCCAGAGAGCGAAAATAAAGAGAGACCAGATGAACCTCAAAAAGGGACCAGAAAAAGACCAGCGAGGCCAAAGAGGGAGCAGAGAGAGACCATAAACACCTGAGAGAGAGACTCCAGTGAGGACTATAAACCGGCTCGTCGAGTTCAGGGAATCTGAGGCGTGAGTGACAGTTTACATGAGTCTGGAATGATGAATGTGTTTTTCTTTTATCTTTGATTTATGTGAAAGACATGATGCAAAACACACTGTTCCCGCGTTACTACATCCTTTGATACAGACCGACCCGGAGATGTTTTTGGATCCATCAGCGCTCTCTCTGCTCTCTTTCTGTTCTCTCTCTCTCTCTCTCTCTCTCTCTCTGGTCTCCCTCTCTCTCTCTCTCTCTCTCTCTCTCTCTCTCTCTGTTCTCTCTCTCTCTGGTCTCTCTCTCTCCCCCTCTCTCTCTCTCTCTGGTCTCTCTCTGGCCTCTGTCTCTCTCTAAGGCCTCTCTCTCTGGTCTCCCTCTCTCTCTCTCTCTCTCTCTCTCTCTCTGTCTCTCTCTCTCCCCCCCCTCTCTCTCTCTCTCTCTCACTGTCTCTAGCCTCTCTCCCCCCCCCCCCCCCCCCCCCTCTCTCTCTCTCTCTCCCCCCCTCTCTCTCTCTCTCCCTCTGGTCTCAGAGTCATTAGATCGTGGAGATGTTTTTGTGTTAGTGGTTCACTTCCTGTGACCAGCGCAGCCACCCAGAAGTGTTCCTTTCTTTGTGGCTGTCGCTGTGACTCAACTGAGCTCAGTCACTGACAACTGAAGCAGAAGAGAGAGGGAGGGAGAGAGAAGAGAGAGGGAGAGGGAGGGAGGAGAGAGGAGAGAGAGGGAGAGGGAGGGAGGAGAGAGAGAGTGAGGGAGGGAGAGAGAGAGGGAGGGGGGGAGGGAGAGGGAGGAGAGAGAGAGTGAGGGAGGGAGAGA